TGGTGTAATGTCCCCTTACATTGGTGGCCATGGTGTAATGTATCTTACTTTGGTGGTCATGGTGTAATGTCCCCTTACATTGGTGGTCATGGTGTAATGTCTCCTTACATTGGTGGTCATGGTGTAATGCCTCCTTACATTGGTGGTCATGGTGTAATGTCTCCTTACATTGGTGGTCATGGTGTAATGCCTCCTTACATTGGTGGTCATGGTGTACTGTCTCCTTACATTGGTGGTCATGGTGTAATGGCTCCTTACATTGGTGGTCATGGTGTAATGGCTCCTTTCATTGGAGATCAGTGGAGTAAGTGACCCCTTACATTATTGTCAGTGAGGGAGGTGCCTTGTCACATCTATAGTCAGTACAAGGAGGAATGGCCCCTTATATTTGTGGTCAGTTAAAGGAACACACCATTTTGTTGGGGGGTCAGTGGGAAGAATGCCCCCCTTGCAGGCAGCTAATAAGATCCTTAGTGTCATGGTGATGTTGGCCCTAGAACTATGCAGACTCCATCCGATAAGAGGTCCATCAGCCATTGCTGAGGGAACCCCTAGTGACCCCAGTGAGGAACCCTAGGGCTTCATAGAGCTCTGGTTGAGAATGGCCGGTGTAGCCCTTCTTTATCCCAAATTAGAAAATGGTAGTTTGGTGGTTGTTTTGCATTTAGTAGGAAGGGTTAAACCCCCTCCCCCCTTTGTTTTTTTTTGCTACCTGCGCCTCATTAAGATGATTTTCCTTTGCTTCCTGTGCTGAAGACACAACAGGAAGTGAGAAGTAATCTTTCCAAATTAAGAGAAATCCACTCTTAGAGCAAATACTGTTTGAACAGGTGTCCCCGTTGGAAGATCTCTGTGTGATCCTTCAGTCCTCCAGCTCCGGCCCCTTGAAAATGTCATGCCACCTCTATAATAAAATCAGCGCACGATCCTCGGACACCCAGATAGGCTCCACCCAGAGCAGGAGGAGGAGGAGGTCACCGGAGGAACGTGGCATTTTTAGGTCTTCACATTAGAGCTTCCCTTGGATTCATATACAAGCTGGCTGCAGGCTACAGTTCCAGAACAATGCTGGGCGTCAGTTCTTCTTCCTGTGCAAACAAAGGGCCAGCCCAGAGCAGAAACAATGTAGCGGAATGTTTCATGTCTTACCTGGAAGTCTTATCAGCAGATAGTAGTTACAGTTCTGAATGTTTACCAACTGGGCTCGGCAGAGTTTACTTCATATCTACTGAATACACACTGCCGGCCCCATAGGCCTTTCTCACACATGGAGAGCGAAAAACACTTCACTGGGTATTAATAATCAGAATTGGACTCCAAAATGATGCAGAAATGGCAACTTTGTACTGCCAACTGACTGGAGATCCAATAGAATATACAGCAATCAGCCATAACATGATCACCTGCCTGATATTGAGTAGGTCCCCCTTCTCCTGACCCATCGAGGGATGGACCCCACTAGACCTCTGAGGGTGTGCTGTGCTATCTGGATGACCCCCACAAATATGGAGTAGGTCCCCCTTCTCCTGACTAGTCCAGGCATGGGCCCCACTAGACCTGTGAGAGTGTGCTGTGCTATCTGGATGACCCCCACAAATATGGAGTAGGTCCCCCTTCTCCTGACTAGTCCAGGCATGGGCCCCACTAGACCTGTGAGAGTGTGCTGTGGTATCTGGATGACCCCCACAAATATGAGGAAGGTCC